TTAAATCTTATTACTTACGGGCCGCTATCCTAATGTAAGTTAACATTATAACAATTCATAGATGTACACTACACACAACTGATTTACAGAATATTTTGCCACAAATGAACGAAAAATGTTATTCTTGATGGCAACGTCCCCATCGACGTTTGACCGTTCACTGAGAACAGCCGCAGCTCTCGATCCTTATTCTTACAGCCGTTCTATAAAATCTTCGGGTGATAACACCACTCAGGCCGTTAGATAAAGACCAAGATCGACTCGAGTGACCTATTATTTATTATGGGTCTGTAGGAGGAATTACTATCTTGGTTGCTCGTCGAAGATCGTATCGGATGAGATACAATTAAAAATGTGTAACGGAAATGTTCCGCTACATTACTTTCATATCCTTTGCATAGTCTTTTTCAGTGCAAGCTGGTCTATGATTTTCCAATGTATTCGTAGAAATTATTTGTTTTATTCTGATAATATTAGTCACTATCTCTAAACTTTTTGTATATAAAAATGTGAAAATCAGTAGATAACAAAAAATTTTGCATACATTTTTCTATTTTATTTTTTGGGAAAATCTGAAAATATGTAAATATATCTAAATTTATGATATAAGATTTTTTGTGTAGATAAATTTAGAAATTACTTGGTTTTATTAAACATTAATATTTTATAATTGATGTTATTCATTGATAAATAAATATATATAATATAAATTAATAATTTATATTTAATATAACATCGATACTAATTATTTTTTATTAATGAAGTCATTGATGATAAGATGGGGGAAACATTGTATATCAAGTTACATCCAGGGAATGGAAGTAAGTCGTTACTTGTAACGAAGTTTCAGTTACAAATTACTTTTTGATAACTGTACTGGTAAACTGTAACGGTAACGAAATTACATTTTTTTGGTAACAAATTTTACAGTTACTTTTATCGTTACTTTGTACACGACTGGACACGATATGATTAGCCACTCCTAACGCTTAAGACTAGAAAGCTCCTAGGCCCGTTCGCGTGATTGGTGGTTGTCGATTTTAAAAAAGTAACGGAAAAGTAATGAAAAGTTACTTTCTCAAGTAACGCTAACGCTAACGAGTTACTTTAAAAAATTGATAACTAGTAATGGTAACTTGTTACTTTTTCTACATGGTAAGGAGTAATCTGTTACTTTTAAAAAGTAACTTCCCATTTCCTGGTTACATAATGGAAAATATGCATAAGATTCTTTAACAAATAATATGCAAATTAATTAATTGGCATTGATGTAATTGATGATTATAAGTACTATCGTGACGTTTTGAAATTTATGAGAATGTTCTGTAATTCCTCCTAATATTGTGTTTAACCTTTCTATCAGATGAGAACATAGGTCATGCGTCTGATTATCGCGTGCACATTTTTATCAAGTTTAATACTGTATATGCAATATAGGACGTATTAACGAGCTAATATGCAGATTTGATTAATTTTAATGCCTTCATTATTTTGAAAAAAATTTTTTTTGTACATTTATATAACGTAATCGATTAAAAATTAACAAAGATATCTTATTTATTAACCTGCGAGTTTACTTTAAGCTTGAATAAACGTTTTCTGTAATTTTTTAAATATTGAATATGTTGTATTGAGAATGGTTACTTGATTATATTATAATATAGACTCAATCAGAAAATTCTGATTTGTTTTTCAACCAGAGTATCAATAAGTAACTAGAATTTTTTTTCTATTGCGATGTCAAATTGTTTTATCAGTCACATTTTTGAAAAAAATGACGTCAAAGAGAGATTAAAAACGATGATTTTGAAGATTTTCATGATGTTGCAACACACTAGCAGCAAATTTTTTTCTAAATTTCGTCAATGCCTTGCAAATGTATTACTTTTTAGTTTTCAAATGTTTTATTTTGGTATAATTTTTCGTTTTTCAGATATAGTAATTTGAAAATGGCCATATTGTATTTTATCAATTTCATATCGCACAAAAACACTTATTTTTCACATAATGCAATGTTAAGATTCAATAATATGTATTTTGCATGTATTATATGAAAAAAAAGTTATATTTAAATTGCTATATCATAAAAATGGAATATCATATCAAAACGAAAAATGCAGTTTAAAGCTAAAAGTTGAAATTTCCGTATGTCATTAACGATTTAGAGGAAAAATTGTTGTCACTGCAGACAAAGTTGTGAAAACCCTCAAAATTATTGTTTATGTTTCTTTAACGTGATTTTTTCAAAACTGTAATAATTAATTAATTTGCGTATTACTTGTTGAAAAATTTTAAAATAAATATAAATTAGTAAAGGACTCTTCTCATTTAAATATATATATATATAACCCATCATAAACAAATTTTGACTTTGTCCGTTTTGTCAGTAAGACTCAGTTATCTCATTTATTGTCTGAATTTCGTGCGGTGCGTGTCGATCTCAATTTATTCGATTTTCAATATGTAGACACATGTATTATAATTACGCTCAGGTGAATTATATTATATATTGACAATGTCACACAGAGAAGGATTACTTATTCTCCGGTAGATTATGGTGAGTTTTGTTAGCAGAATGATATTTCTATGGTTTCGTGTATAAAGAAATGAATTATCTTAATAGATGAAGATTCAGTCAGTCGATTAGTAAATCGTTTGTCATCGGCGCCTTGATCATACCCGGGGAGAGGTTTCTTCTTTTGACCACATATGCGATTGTTTAATTTTAATTAATGTTTACGATAATTTAAAATAATATGTCGTTATCTGAAGATGGCCTAATCAAAGGCTGAAACATGTAATAATTTTTGTAATTTTTATAATTTGTAGAACTTGACGCTTATAATGAGTATGTTCTCGATTAATTTTACTCATAAATCTTGTGAGATAAACACATTTTTGTCTTGACGTATTAATTATTAAAGATTATATTAACTGACTCTTATGTCCTTTACTCAAATTGTTACTCTTATTTGAAAAATTTTATGTATATTTTACATAATATATATATATAAAAATTTCAAAAACGGATTCGTGTTTATTCAGGCAAAACATACATTAAAAAGTGTGAAAAACAATTTCATTGTAGACTAGTGCAATTGAAAATATAATAATTAACGAATGATTCTATTATATTTTTTCTTCTATTATTTTTTCTTTCTTTTTTCATTTTATATTTGTTAATTTTGTTACATAAATTTATATAAAAAATAAGTCACAAATATATGAATATTTTTAAATTTTGTTTATTTATTAAATTTATTAATAAAAATTTTATATTTTTTAAATTTAAATGATAAATAGAATTAAAGATGCATATAGTTCTATGAACTTTATCTTGTTGAAATAATTAATTTAGTTCTCGTTATGGTTTAAAACATATTTTGAAGAAACGTTTCGTTGCATTCAATTATAGACATTTATTATATTTGTTATATTGTAAATATTTTTAAATTAAAGCCTTATAATTCTTCATGAAAAAAATGCAAATTTAATGCTTATTACTGTAAATTTATCCAATTTATTTACATAACTAAGAATAATCTAATCAGTTTGTATTCTAAACTTAATTTTAAAATAAGAAATAAATATAGAAATATGTGCAAAAACAGCATAAAAAGGTCGCAATTAAAGTGTTGTGTAATTGTCATATAAAATCAGTCGATAAATTTGTCGGCAAAGATATTACTCAATTATAATGACTTTACAATATGGCAATTTCTTCATACATATATGAAATATCAAATACAGGATATAGTCTCGCAATCAACGTGTTCATCCTGTGTTCACGAGAAATGTGAAAGATTCTTGTAATCAAGTTTAATAACAAGAATGTATTTCGTAAAAATACTTATACCCTGGTTTCATAATAAACATTTGTCATATCTTTGTGTGATAAATTCATTCATATCCAATATATTTCTCTAGAATTGACGCTAATTAAATAAGATTTAAAAAATATATAATCAAGAAACAAGTGAGTTTTCTTGATTTTATTTTTAATTTTGGGAATATGTGATATAATAAGTAAAATAAATAATAATTTCATTTTTAGTACTAAAATAATTAAGAAATTTTATAAATACCTTAAGATATTTGTAAAAGATATTTTATTCTATAAATATTTTATAATTTAAACCATTGATATATGTATTAAACATTTATAGTTCACATTTACATACGTACATTATAAACATTTATAACTCACATGTACGTACATTATAACTCACAAATTGTCCTATTTTCTTTAGTGATTATAAAATTATTTTTTTAAATGAAATTCAAACATTCATTTTATTTTACATAGTAGACGCTCTTTATTTACAAATTTGCTATTTGCGATTGACATATTTGTAACTATATTTCTTTAATTCGCAATAATTATCTTAATATTCACGAATATAAGTTATTGTATATGCATGCGATTGCATTTTAATTATTATTAGTGTCTTTTTTTCGAAAAAGGAAAATTTTTTTGAAAACTGCATATATTTCACGAAATGAACATTTTACATAACAATATTTATGTAGATTAATTAAGGCATTTTTTTATTGATAATATTCTGTATTAATATTTTAATGTAATTTTTAATTAAAATAATCAAAAAGAAAGAAATTAATTTGAGAAACTTTACATAATATATATTATATACATATATAAATTAAATATTTAATTTCGATATGTATATAATACTTAAATAAGTGTGTATAATATACTTAAAACCTGTTTTTTTTTTGTTGAATTTTTGCACCAGTTCATCTTTTTTCTTTTTCTATTCAGGAGAAAAAAGAAAAAGAAGAAAGATGAACTGATGCAAAAATTCAGCCAAAAAGGACAGGCCTATAGTTGTAATTATGGTGGAATGATTCCACCATGGTCGTAATAGTCATTTTTCTCGATCGAATTATTCTGTTGATAATTTCATTTGACTTGATCCAACTTGAAATTATAATTAACTTAAAATTTAAATTTAATCGTGTTTGTCTAGTCCATTTTTCAACAAATATTAATTAAACTCAATATTTTAATTAAATTTAATATTTTAGAAATTTATATACCTACTGGATATCAGAAAATGTAAACCTTATAAGCTGTTGATTAAATGCAGTCTCATATGTTGCTTATGTCGCTCATTAATTCAGGTTAGCTCTCTTTCTTCGATTAATTAAGGTTTTATTAAATCAAAGTGGTAGAGAGTTATATAACTGTACGCTTAATTAATTATATTTTCTGAAAATTTATTAAGAATTATATAAAACAAAAACATGGAGTTTAAGAAGGAAGCAGCATTCGATATGAACAAAGAGAAAGCAAAATTATTCAAGACGAAAATAAAGCAGCTTGCTGAATATAATGAGATAGTTTCGGCCGAGACTATCAATGTGATCGGAGATGTTACGAAAGATGTTACGAAAGATATGACCAAGGATGATGCACCGAGCAGCGACGAGTTCGATGAGGATCTAGAAGAAGAATATCGGAACTTGAATAACATACTCGATTTACCGAACGATACTTACTCTCTTACTAAAATTACAACGGAGTTACCATTGTGCGTCAAGTATGGTGTTCGTTCCAGCCTCATTCACTCGAACATGCCGTATTTCTCACCATTATCTAGAGGTTATCAGGTAATAACAATCGCGATTAGTTGATGCAAACTTTATTTAAGGAATGTTTCTTAACGTTTTTTTATAGGAGAATTGTTTGCTTTCATCCATTTTTCAAGGAATTCGCGAATTGTTTGTGTTGCATTCTATACACTCTTTTTGATGTAATTAATTTGATAATTAAAAAAATTCCAATATAAAAACAATTATTTTTTAAATACAAATATTATTAAACGTTGCTTTGCAGTTTCTCATTTCGCAGCTCTAATAACAGGGTGGCGCCATAGCAATTGCAGCTTTTGCCACGACCGCAATTCACAAATCTCGCTGTTGGAACGAAGCGGTGATCGATCAAATCGTCGAGGACGGCGACACTTTTTATTGCGAGTCCTACAAAGACGTGAACACGGATGATCGCCGGACAATGACCATCCTCGACTTGAAAAGGATTCTTCTTCTTCAGAAAAAGTTTAATGTGGAAGTTAAGATTGAGGATCCGGCATACGCTGGAAAGTTTCGTTCGCGCAATCCGACAGAACTTCATCTGGCAAAAGCATTAGAACTATTTTTCGAGCGACACAATGCCGGGATCTTGACATCACCGGTGCTCAATATAGCGATCTGGAAGAATTCGAAGTATTACTATATATTTGATGGTCAGGCGCGACGAGAAAGCGGCGATCCAGCAGCCGATAGAGTCAGCGGATCAGCCAAATTGTTTCTCGTGAAAGACTTGATAGGATTACTGTTTATCATTCTTGAGAAGAGTAACGTGCGAAACGAATCCTTCGTAATCTATCCTATATTTATCAACAATGTCGAAATGATTTTACCAGAAGATGCTGAGGAGGCCGCGAAGATACTTGAGAAGCCGCGAAGAAGACCGAGCGGTTATAAAATTTGTAAAAAATATCGAGCTATCGTACAGGGATCTTGTCATCTAACGCATCCCGCCTTCCCGGAAGTTCTGCGAGGTAAAGGACATCTGATTATAGCTGTGGCAGCTTTGATATATTCTCGACTGATCAATGCTAACAAGTGGACGACCGCTTTAATCAATCTGATTTTTAATCAGGCCAATATTTATCTAATCGATCTGGTCAGAGTTCTGGAAAAGAAACTCGACAACGAATTCGAGCTTCGCTTGGACGATTTAATGAGCGATATTATCCTCGGAGTATATTCCGCCAAGGTAAAGATAGACGCGAATATAATATCGAGTCAAACGCAGAAGGGTAAGAGTTCTATTGATATTGGTATAAAAGAGTTCTTTGAGACGCAAAAACTCGGAATACTCGAGATCGAGAAAATCTTTTACGCGATCTGGAAGGATGGTGACTCGTATTACTTCTTCAATCCATTTGCTTGTGACGATGAGGGTTTCAGGATAGATACAGACAGTGATAGAGAACACACAACACATGATACTACGAGAGATGTTGCTTGCGTTACCATGAATAGCACCGTAAATGACGTGGTGGAGATAGTGATGGAGAATATTGGCAATGAGGAAAGCGATCCTTTCCTAATACACGGAGTCAAGGTGCTTTATGTCAAGACTGGAGTGACGCCAAGTGGGCCGTTCGAAGAAGTGATTTATCGAGAGAGTGGTACAAACCGTAGACCGCGGGCGCCACCGCCCCCGGTACCAATGGATACGACAAAAGTTGATTTGATCGATGCGACACCACGCTTGCGACCAGAGTCACGTAAATTTGCAGATGTGTCTATTCAATATCCGGAGCTTATGCAGGATATAGATCAATACATGATGACTGTTGATGAGCCAGTAACTTTTATAATTGCACAAGAAAAAGCTAAAAAAATAAAGAAAATAGAAGAAGAGGAAAAAGAAGAGGAGGAGGAGGAAGAGGAAGAAGAAGAAATGAAAGTAGGCTTTATCAGAGGATATAACCTAATAAATGATCACTGTCTTATCGTTCACGGTAGCAAGACTTGTATGGACCTCACGTATAATCTGCGATCACAAGGTAGACAAGGATTAATAATTGCTTTGACTGCGTTGGCATATAGGAAGTTAAAGGATCCCACGCGCTGGCGATCTATAGACGTAGATCAAATTCTTAACATAGGCAACAAGGCTTACGAACAAGTTATAACGTGGATTCAACAAGGCCGACCGGAAATAAAAGAAGTGAAAGAAAAGAAATTGAAAGAAGAAGAAGAGGAGGAAGAAGAGGAAGAAGAAGAGGCTGAAGAAGAAGAAGAGGAAGAGGAGGAAGAAGTGGAAGAAGAAGAAGAAGAAGAAGAAGAAGAAGAAGAAGAAGAAGAAGAAGAAGAAAAAGAAGCTGTTGTTCGAAAAGTAGCACGTGCTCCGAGTCATTTGGATATCTCTCTCTTACCTCCTAGATTGAAACTAGCTGAGAACAACGTTTTTTTTAAAACGAGAATGAACGTCGCTAATGGCGATGCGAATCCTTTGGCTAATCTCGCGGAGGCTCTCGAGCGTTACTTTGAACGATATCCCGAAATGATATTGGAAAACAATAGGTTGATGTATGCCATTTGGAAGGAGGATGGAAAATTCTTCCTCTTTAATCCTTATGGCAGCGATCAAGAAGGATGGCGTTTTTGGCAATATCGAGCTGGTTTCAATGTAACGGATCGTTTCAATGAGTTGATCAAACTGCTTTATGGCATCTTAGAATACAACAATTCGCATTTCTCACTTCATTTCGTAGCTCTGGACGCTATAGAACCAGGAAAGTACAAGTCGTCTGTGGAAATCGTAATACCGGATGAGAAAACAGAAAAATTCCAAACAAAGTTTCTTCCAATTACTGATGACGATTTACTAAAACTTGAAGAGAAGAAACTGGATGTTGATGTAGAAGTGATAAAGGAACTTGTTGATAAAAAGGATGTAGTAGAGGAAGAAGAAGAGGAAGAGGAAGAAGAAGAGGAGGAGGAGGAGGAGGAGGAGGAAGAGGAGGAAGAGGAAGAGGAAGAGGAAGAGGAAGAGGAAGAGGAGGAAGAGGAAGAGGAAAAAGAAATAGTGGAAGAAAAAGAATTAAAGGAATTTCTGAAAGAAGATCCTACGTTATTAATCGAGGAATCCGTGCAGCCTGATGCACCTTACCGCCTAAACTTGGCTCTCTTGACTTCCACAGTAAAGATCCAAGATCCGACTGAAGAAGAGTTGAAGAGCTTACCCGAAGAGGTAATAATGGAAAAGATGAAGTACGATCATCCACCGCCGTACGTGATGCCGCCAAGGGGAACGCTTCGCGTTTTACTGAAAGCAAAATTAGCCAACAAGTCGATCCCATCTCTTGTATCGAGATTCTCGATCGACTCGAGATTGGAAATTAAGAAGGGTGATGTTCCTGTGGACTCTACATTAGCCACGATCGTGCCATTGCTTCGGGACATGAAACCTTCAAAGATGATCAAGCTATCTTTCAGGAAGTACTTGTACTCGAGATTGCCGCCTATCCATATGGTGCCTTTAAGAGCTATCGACGAGAGTTACATTCAGGACAAAGAAATTGATAAAGCAATCGACGAGAAATATCTTGGGCAAGAAAAACTGGAGAAAAAGGAAGAAGATAAGATGCTAGGGAAATTACCGAGAGTGTCTTATGTGAGACCAGAACTGATACCATGTGGAGCGATAATTAAGACTCCCGTTTTAGTGATAAAGCATTTAACATATCTTGATGAGCGAAAGAGAGTGTTGAAAACTGAGGAAATAGCACCTACTATCAAAAAGACTATCACCGATGCGGAAAAACTTCTATTCAAATTAAAACTTCTGAAATTTCAACTTGATGTACCTCTGCAGGTTAATTCATTTTTTAATAATTATAAAAATATAATAGAAGAATATATAATAATTAAAGAATATACATATACTAATAAAGAAAATAATAATAATATATATTATTATTAATAAAAAAATACAAAACGTGCCAAAGCAAAATGTCGTAAATTTTTAAAATTTTTCAGGAGACATAAAAACTTATTTTCTTAAAAATTATCACTTAAAAAATTCTATAAGAAATTGCTATATTAAAGATATGAACAATTAGTTTCTGCAAAAAATTTTAATTAGGAATCTAATTTAAAAAATCGTGTTAAAGGTATTAAAATTTCCAAATATTGTAAGTCTAAATAAAAATGCTAGTCAAAATATTTAAATCCAAGTAAAGATACAAACTGTATAATGGACATACAATGTTTTGATTTATTTGTTTTTCTCTGCTTTGTAGTAGCACTCTCCACGACAAATGTTAATATGAGATAAAACATAGCAGTTATAATTTATTTATACAGTAAAACACAGTAGTTTTATAATTTTGGCACAATGTTTGTCATGACAAGCTTATATGTTATTATATAGTTTAAGAGACAAAAAAGATTGCAAAATTATATCACATTTTTTTTATTCGTAGTAGATATTATTATTACTTGGTTTTTATTTTTATGGAAATTTTCTTTAATCTAAATTTTCTTTCTATTTAGCCATTGGACAAGAAAAATGATGTTAAAACGAAAAAGACGAAGAAGACGATAATTAATGCGAAATATTTCGATAAGAAAGTAGGTCTTTCGTGTTATCAGAAGTTATTGGCTTCAAAATATAATTTTATAATTAGATAGTATTAGATATTTTAGAATTGATGCGTTACCAATATATATATATAATATGCAAAATATATCGCTTACTGACTACAATAGCGATTTAACTTAAAATTGTTTTTTTTTAGTCGCTTGTAAAAATACATAGGAACATATAAAGAGAAAAAGCATACTTTAAAAGCATATTTAGATAAAAATGTTTCCAAAATTATTATGTTCTTTTTCATTTATAAACATTGACAAAAAATTATTGATTAAAAATAATATTAGTTAATTTGATTAAATGTAGCGGTCGTAGGCTGTCAAGCAAATATTTGTTAATTTAAACAAATAACATGTTTTAAATTACAAGATTTTATTGACATGGCTCATGTATATTTAATCTAAATATATAAATATTTGAACTAAATAATCATTACGAACTAAATGCAGTCAAGTTAACTTTTTTCTCACTGTAGACATTATTATTATTTGTTTGACTTTTATAGAAGCTTTTTTAAATCTAAATTTCTCTTTCATTTAGCCATTGGTCAAGAAAAATGATGATAACATGAAAGAGAAAAAGAAAATGATGATTAAAGAGAAATACATCGATAAGAAAGTAGGTCTTTCGTCATCAGAAATTATTGATCTTAAAGTATAATTTCATAATACATATTAGATATTTAAAAATTGCTGCGTTACAAATAATGTGCAAAATAGATATATCGCTTACTCATTACAATAGCAACTTAACTAAAAAATTATCACTTTTTAGTTGCTTGTAAAAAAAGAATAGGAACATAAATAAAGGAAAAACATATATACGTTATAATACGTAATAATACGTACATACTTAGATATACAAATTATCCGTTCTTCTTCATTCGTATAGATAATTATTACTACTTGTCTTTTTTTACTTTTCTTTAATTTAAATTTCCTTTCAGCCATTAAACAAGATAAATAATAATAAGGCGAAAAAGATGAAGAAAATGATAATTAAAGCAGAATTCTTCGATAAGAAAATAGATCTTTCGTCATCGGAAATTATTGGTTTCAAAGTAATTTTGTAATACAGATTTAGATATTTTAGAATTGTTGCGTATTAATAATATACAAAACACATGACACATTATAATAATGACATAACTAAAAAATTATCATTTTTTTAGTTTCTTGTAAAAAGAGAATAAAAACATAAAAAGGGAAAAAAGCATATTTTGAAAAAACATACTTTTATTTTTTTATAACCAGTTATTCTTAAAAATTGTATTTCAAAATTAATATATCACAAAGCTTTGATAATTCAAAATATTTCAAATCCTTTTTTCAAGATCTTTATTTTTTTGAGTTGTGTTGTTGGAACAATGCGATATTATTTAATATTATAAGTAATATTATAAATATATATATATACATCATATAGTTCAGAGTTTTATAAACTAATTTATCTCTGCCTCAATATTTATACAATTTACTTGATAAGTAAATTATTTAGGACGCAATTAATCTAAATATTACTTAAAGGTCATGGATGAAGATACAGAGATAATACAAGGCAACCACAGTTTGTCGGATCGTACAAGAATTGGACCTTCTCACTTCAAACCTTGCTTTATTTCGGCTATTTTATGCATTTTGGCTAAAAACATGCTAAATGCAGATCGCTTTTGCGACAGTATTCTAGATTATTTGATTTTTTCCGCCAATAGCATCGATCAACAAATCGGCAAACTGCGATACAATGGATATAGAACATTTGATAAAGTAATCGTTCGGGATACAAGTTTCAACGTTATTCTGAAAGAAATGGTTTATGCTAATCCCGAGAGTTCTCCGTCCGACGAGCTTGATGCGGTAGTCAGTAAATTTCTAGAAAACAATCAAACTGGTATATTGGTATTAGCAAATTGCGCCTACGCATTTTGGACAGCGGACGATAAATACTATCTCTTTGATCCTTATCCTTGCGACGAGAGGGGGAAGGCCAACGAGGAAGGCTACTGCTGTCTCATGAGATTTCGCAATTTAAAGTCCATGCTCGACAGAATTAAAGAAAACGCTGGTGAAACTGCGAGGAAACCTTTCTGTGTCTATAGCGTATCAATCACTTACGCAGAAATGAAAAGACGGAAACGAAGGAAAGGTATCAAACGTCGCCCGAAATTAGAAGAGGTGAGGAAAGAGTTGATTTATAGCGAAGAAAAACAGAATGTATCAACGCCAATAGTCAAGTCGAAAGTGTCTCTGATCGAGTTAGCCGAGTGGGTTACTGCAGGTCCAGAACTGGATCCGCGTTGTGACGTCACGGTGGCCGGTTTTACGCCGATGCGGCATTATGAGGCCTCGATGCTCGAGGAAGTTGTTTTGGAGAACGATATTACGACGCCTACATTAGCACCGTTCGAGCTATTTCTAGATGACGAGGATCGCGCGAAAATGGCAAAGGTGAGAATAATACCATCCGAGAGAATATTTCATAACAACTCGTCCATCCAGATCCCAATCCATCTTTGTATCATGGCGTGGTCGTTGATTCACGATCCAGCCTCTTGGTCGGAACGCACTATTGATGGCTTAATCGAGGCTGCCACCGATTACGCCTACGACAGCGTGTTGGCTAATGAGGATACTTCCGTGAGTGATATGACCGACGCGGTGTTGCCGGAATTCGAAATAGCAAATTACGTCTTTCGGGCGGTATTTGCACCGCTACACTATGGGTTCTTATACGCTACGGAGGGATGGAATCTCGCAATGACCCTGGAGAAAATATTCGAAACAGCGATCTACACTGGCGCGATCATCGTTTGCCATTCCGCTCACATAGGTGTCACGAAATGCGGCAAGAATTACTTTGCCTGGTGGACAGTCACGGGGACAAAAAGCCTAAGAATAATCGCGACCAGCAGCTTTGACGAGTTTCTTAAGCTAATCGTTAAAGTGATCAACATGCCGCAGACGATTAGATTTACCGTAAGAGCGATCACCATATCCCACGCTCTGAAAATGGCACCAGATTTCAGCGATGTCAAAGGTCTTCATGAGTCGAAAGTAACGACGGCATCTCTACCAGAGATTTATCGGAAAGAGCTTCAGGATTCTTACGACGTCAAAGCGATCTTCAAACCAATCGACCCCGCACCAAAACCAATCTTCATACTTGGAACGGTAGCTCTTTGCAATCGCGACAGTCTACTGGAGCCACGGATGAAACGTTGCTATTTCATCGCGTTACTGGCTGTTGTGATAAAGAGAGATATTGTTCAGTCCCCACTTCCTGGTATGATCGACAGAATTCTCGAAGTGGCGGAAAATTTGTACAGAGGATTCCCTGCCGAGCCAAAATTTCATGCGGAGCATATCTTGCGAAATGTTCCGCTGATGAACAGGTTCTTTGATCTTCGTGATTGCGCATTACCCTTAGTTGTGTTGACGACGAATTCTCAGACTGGCAGAAATGATTTTTACGTACAAGTGAGCGTCGAGAACAAGAAAGAAAATTACTCTTCCTCTGTTTTCTTCTTTTTTTTGTAAAAATGGAATAATGGTTCTATTTTACTTTGTATAATTTTTTCTAGCACAGTGATTTATTTTTTAAATGTACTTATCATTTTATGTTAATTTATTTTACTATAATTATATTTTAATATATTCCGGCATTTTTACTTAACACTAACAAGATAGACTTTTTCAAATTATTCTATTAATTTCTATCTGTTTATATCTATTTATTATATGCTAGTCGACAATAATTTTGTTAAATAGGTAATTTTAGCTGATTCTGAGATTTTGAAAATAAATTAGAATTTATCCTGTAGGCTTCGATTTTTGTAAATATGACATATCTCTTTTTAAAAACTTATACATTTTGCTAACAACAATTCGTTGTGTCTTTCTTAATTGAAATTATTTATTTTGCTTTGAAGTCTTTTATAATAAGTAGGAAATCATAGATATTATAATTAGCTATTTCCTATAAATATTTATATTTAAGGAAAAAAAAGATAAACACAATATTTATAATTTCTATGAATATTTAAGCAAAAGAGGAACTTTTAAATGCGCATTAAAAATGTTCTTCTCATAAATTTGGCAAACATTTGATATTAGACACTCTTTCAAATCAATTTTTAATATACCAAAAGTAAAATTTTGTCGATTACAATAAATTATCGGAACGTATAAATTTATAAAATTTTTTAACACATGTTACTAAAAAATCCTGCCTTTCTAATTCAGTAAATAGATTTTGAATCAGTGCAAAAAAATACTATAAAAAATATCTTAAATCAATTTAATATAAGAAAAATGAAATGTCAATCAGTGTAATTAAAAATAATTTAAATTGCATTTAAAATTTATTGAAGTTAGAATTCTAAGTTCTTAATACATAATTTTATTTTATATATAAACATTACTATATCAATGGTTTTAGGTGAAACATCATCTGAAACGTTATTTTAAGATGCACACGAGTGGTATACTGCACTTTACGAATTGCTGCTACGGCTTTTGGTACTCGAGAGCGACCAACTGCTATTATTATCTGGATCCCTATCAATGTGATACGGATGGCAGAAAGACTTATGCCAACGGCAACGCCTGTCTCTGCATCTTCTCCTGCGTACGTCAAATGGTGAAACACATGTGCCTCAATCAGTACGAAGGCACGACTGGGTTCTTCCTCCACAGAATTCACGTGAATTCCATCAATGCACCGCCGTTTGAGAAGTTTCAAGAAGATCCAATGTGGCTCTATTTGGACTATCATTGGAACTTTACGCATTCAATTATGAGGTCGCGTAAGAAAGCGAAGTACAGAGATAGGTCAAAGGTCAATCGGCAATTTTGGAACAACTACGCGATTGAGGTGACCGGTCTAATTTACTCCATCTGGGGCACAATCGGCGCTTATGATTGTCGGTTTGGTGAACGAGCCGGGAAAAATTGCGTCGCCATATGCGTAGCTGTCCTGGCTATGCGGAATCTTTGTCATCCTTCGCGATGGAGTCCGGCCATCTTGGACTCAGCCGTTATTTGCGGAGATTCCTATTACACGGAAAGCCTGAAGAGTTTAATGCAGAGCTGCTCGAAGTTTGATAACAGGTTCGGCTTGCAAACTTCCTTCAAGATATTTCCACACTCATGGACCGTTGATTTCGGTACCAGTGTGTGCGGGATTCTGTATGGCGAACAGAATAGCTTAACATTAACCAACGCGTTGAACTTCGCCTTTGAAGAGGCGCGTAACGTTATCATCGAGTGCAACAGGATCGCCTTGGCAGTTTTGGCGACTAAAGACGCTTATTATGTTGCCGATTCTTGCTGGATCGGTCCACCGTTGTTTCCGAGAAATCGTGGCGCGATCTATGTTCTACGTTGCAAAAATATGAATGTTTTAATATACGTGATCACGAAGATGTTTAATACCAATCAGAGACTTAGCGTATATATCACGCCCTTAAACCTCGCGTTCGACCGAGAAGACTTCGAAACGGATCTATGTATCACGAGAAGAAAGATCCTGCCGACATCTGTACAAAAAGTTCCGGGAAAAATCGAAGACCCCGCCATACCTATTCCGGGAGCGGTCGTGGTACCCGATGAGGATTCTTACTTACACATAGTAAAATATATTTTGTATTTGTTAAGTGGTCGAGCTGGATCTTAACGTCAAAAACAATTCTTGTAAATTTGTATACCACAATTGTAATCTTGTAAACTGAGCGCCGAAATTATTTTTAATTTTGAAACGCAATTAGAACTAGAGTAGTAATATCACAAATTAAATTGACAAGCAAGAAATAATTTCGGCGCGCAGTTTACAGGATTGAAATTGTGGTATATAATTTCACAAGAATTGTTTTTAGCATTAAAATCCAGCTTGACCAATTAGCCTTTATTTTTAATTGTTTGTGTTGTTCATATCATTTTAAAAATGATACTTTAACATTGTTTTGTATTTGCGTTATTCAACCTGGTTCACTCAAGTCCTTGTTAAATTAACCTTTAAGTGGGCAGGTGAGGTAGTCACAGCACTTTAAATATAGTTTTGTTTAAAATCTTATTTTGGAAAAGAAAAATAGAAAATGTTAGAAGAAAAAATTATTGCTAGAAGTTAGGCTAGAAGTCTTAAAGTTCATTATTTTTACGTTCCTCTATCTCCTAAGGATATAACTAATGTAAATTTAACATAATATAATAGGAAATATAACTATAAAATTAAAATTATTTTTGAACACCCCACCTACTAACTTGTATATTTTAAACCACCTATCTATTTAAAGGTTAATATAATATAATTTTTTTTGTTATGTAAATATTTTATATATTAAATTAATATTTAATAATAATAAGATTGGAAATATTTAATATTTAATATTTTTTAGTGTCAAAATAATATAATTATAATTTATAAGTAAATGAATAAATAATATATTTAAAGTTTTAATATAAATGATAAAAATATATATATTAATTCAACCTATCATAAATGTCAATTTTACTGAAAAATATGCTTCTATAATTTGTTTACAAATTGTGTTAGTATTACATTTTTGTATAAATTTTTTTACATAATATTTACTTTCTAACTTATTCATGTTGCAATAAATTAATACAAAAGTTTGAGTGGACACGTGAAATGTGTTGAATTTAACATAAATTTTCCAACTGTGCAGTATCGTCAGCGTCTTGCCGAGGGTATTGCCAGAGATTCCCAACTAGAAAGTTTACAACTTTGTCATGCGGAATGTGTACTGAATCCCGAAAATGCGAACAATGCGCTTGTGAGCACTAAGTGGCGTATGAATGTCGGTCAAGCACGTTCCCGGAAAAGACCTAAGTTACCCTTAGATTCTGTCGAGACAAAGGATGATTTATTAGAATCTGATTCTTTGATGGATCCGTATAAGACGCGAATTTTCATCACAGATTTGATTACCGCGAGCAATCGTTATCCAAGACCGATAGACTTTACCAGTAACGAGCCTCCACCTAGAATAGAATTGCTCGAAAATATCAGCGAACGTGGCTTCATCAGGGAGCAAAGTCGTGTAGATTTCGACAAGAGCGTCGCGGAAATGTCTCAGGAAAACTATGCTAGTTATCAGCATCATCTACCCAAAAATGAAAAAACTCCAATTAAAACTGAGATTTTAGATATCTATAGCGAATCAAGCGATGTAACAACCGATACAGAACGAGAATGATTAAAAGCGACATAGAATTATACGATAAAAAGTTCATTAAGAGCATAAATGGAAGTTAAATGTTTTTCTTCGAAATTCTGCCGTAAAGACAGCGGAGGAAAAAGTAAGATTAATTATTCTGATCTCATACATATCGGCATTATGCAAAATTGATTTATTTATAAATCTACCAAGGACTGTGTTATTTTATCTCTTGGAAAACTACGCCTTAAATTAAAAATAATAACTGAGTAAATAGAGAACAGATATTTTTCCATCAATTATAAAATCATTATCTTTTTATATACATGTAAAAATTACGCATAAACTAACACCTGATATACAGCTATACTTGCAGGAATGATATATAATATATGTATTATGTGAAACGCAACTTTATATGTGTACATATGTAAAATTGATAAGTAATTAAAGTATGAAGATTATTAAACAATTGTTAACGGTATAAAAATTTCTGACCAAGTAATAAATTCCCACACAATCAAGGACGATAAGTTTATTATAATTATCTTCATTAATTTAAAATATTTTATTGTTGTTTATGCAATATGCTACCTTTTTATTTCTAAACCTCATTTCTAAACTTCATTAATTTCTAAATTATTTTGGGCGGAAAGGATATTGATGAACATAATTGACAAAAATTGAAATTATCATATCTTTTTTTAGAATAAAACAACTATTTAGAGTTAAAAAAACTAAAATTAACATTCACACAAAAATTATGAAAAATTTTATAAAGAAAATTTACATTTATGAAAGATATAAAGAAAGGTATAATAATAAATAAGAGAAGGTATAAAAAAAAATGCAGGCTTAATAAATTTCATATAATTTATTCACATATATTTTATGCTTACATCTATTTATTAAAATAAATGCGTAAAAAAATTAACTAAAATTGTTAGTGTCGGACGGCGAAAAATGTTTAAATCGACATAATCATAGGTTTTGTACCTAGAATATAATCGAACTAATCGAACGAAATTTATAATTAACTTATGCCTAAATTTATATTGCTGTGATTAATTTAATTAAATGATTAGTTTAATATAATAATATATTAAGCCTAGATTCTTGCAAAAAGTGTAGTATTATATACTTACAAATTACATACTTAAAAATAACGCAAGACATATTGTAATACGCAAACCTCACATTATATAATTATATAATAAGCAAAAATTTTATTGAATAAAGGAAATGATACGGTTTAAGTATATAATTTTTAAGCACATTAAACTTTACAATATATAAAAAAGAGGACTTCGGTTAAAAGTTCCGGCAGGTTTATTTGTTTGATGATGAATGTCTTCTTATATTAATTTCTTTTTTTTTTAAATGTTATAGTTAATATTTTTACAGTGAAACACAACCAACTGTTTTCCTTCGATTTTGATAAGTTTTAAATGTGTTAAAATATAGACAAAAATAAGAGATGTATATTTTTTTATAAGTATTGTTTCGCTTTGAGATGGTGAAATTCTCTTGAAAATATCGGTTTTTTTTCTTTCTGAGCGAATATTATTTGAGGAACTGTCAAAAATATTAAAAAATATTTTTGTTAAAAATTAATTAATTTCAAGAGTAGATACTTTATAATAATAATTAAATAGTTTAAAAAGTAATTAAAGATTAAGGATATTTTTTATATAATAAAGACAAGAATTTACTGGCAATTTAACGAATTGTTATAGTTATGGTTTTTTCATTTATTTAATATTGTATAGTTGTACTTTTATTTATGATTTACCTTTGTAACATTGAAAATGACCCGATCGGAACGTTTGTTAACTTTATGATTCTAATTTAATTAAATTTGTTTGTTTAAATATTGGTTCTATGCCCTTTTTAATTGTCATATTAATTTAAAAAGTTTATTTTTTACAATGAAAAAAATTAAAAAAACATTTTTTTATTATTATAAAAGTATTCTTGAAACCATTCAACTTTCACTCAAAACATTTTTTATATCTTTGCCAGTTTAGATATTCACTCAGAAAGAAAAATTTCTTGAAGGAAGGATTTTATTTCTTAATGTGCAAAAAAGCACTTATAAAAAAATACGTGTATCTTACTTTCGTCTATATTTTAATATATTTAAAACTTATTAAAATTGGAGAGGAACATTTGATTATATTCCTTTGTTAGAGCTTTCTTTCAATTTTCTATACTTTAAGTAATTAAATTGTTCAAGTGACTTTTAAACGTATTTATAGCTTGTACGCGATACAGATGTTATTATTACGCTTATACATCATTCAAGTGGATAATAACAACATTAATGATAATATTTAAGTACATTTAACACGACAATTAGCGTATCGTTGAGATAGTCGTATACGCTTAAACAAAAAATTTTAGGAAGAGATATATTCTTATAGAGAATTTTTTTCTCAAAAACAATTATCAGAGCAAATTATTAAAATTATTAAACAAATTAATATAGCAAATTCTTCATATAACAAAATTCCAACAACAGAAAAATTTCAAATAAAATTGTTTAACTAAGAATTCAGGGGTAAAATGATTGGACAGCTAAGATCATACCTTCCATAAAATTTTCATTAGTGGAAATACAAATGCAAATTACGAAAAAATAACATAGCAATGAATAATGTCGTTTGCATATTTGCATATAACTTTTTGTGACATGTTATAAATTTGTATGTAATAATTGCACGGAGCAATATTATTTTAATTTCCGGTCGTTCCAGTTAGTAAAGATCTTGCTCCCGAATTCGATAATGACCAGTTGCGTAGACGCAATGAATGATAAATCGGAGCACCGAGATGTCATAAAGTTATTCACCGTACAATAAATTATCACACGTACGGAGACATGTAATCGTGAGGGTTTGATTAACGAGGAACACCGACCGTGTCCATTTTCATATATGTGAATGCGTAAATAACGATCGTGATAATTACAATAAAAAAATCAATAACGAATGATGCCTTAAAATATTTCTCGCATTTCAAATTATCTATCTACTTTATTTTCCTTTTCTCTGTTTATCGAAACACATTAATTTTTTTTAAATATTTGAAGCCGTGAAAGGAGGAACACACGATCGTCTTAATTGCTTTTGTGGAAATGCAGTTATTTATCCGCTGTCTCTTCGGTTTCTGGTTTCGTGTACAAGATTTCAGCATATTCTGTCTTGTCCTCATTAATTCGGCGAGGTGTGACACCTTGCTGTTGTTGCATAAGATCCAATTCTGCATATACTATTCCACCTTCGCCTGTCGGAGGATTCGTTCTGCCTTCCTGCACGGCCGGCTCAACGGTCTGAAGCTATATCATAGTTTTTCAGATATAAAATGTGATAGACAATCACAAAAAAAGCAAGAATCTTAATGGTATATAATACATTTACATTTAAATAGATATCATTTTATAAAAAAAATTAAATAGATCCAGTAAAAAGTAATTTTTATATATTCAAGAAAATTAATATGACGAATAAATTTTATATTTACATAAAGATATAATTTAGAAATTTTTAGCTGTATATATAACTCACCGAACGATTGGTTCTTATCTTCGGATCTAACCATGGTGGAAGAATATACTTCCACCATGGATCTAACCACGTTTACGTTCAACCGCTCTACAAGCAAGGATAGTAAGTTCCGAAATCCATCGGAAAAAAGTGTTGCAACCATTCTGTCAATCACTGTACAGCTAAAACGTTCAAAATTGTATTTTTATGTAAATATAATGGTTAGTCAGTTTAAGTTTTTGCTTGAGTGTAAAGAAGTTATTTATTACAGGATCTATTAAATTGTTTAGAATGTTGTTTATCACTATACAATATCAACTAAAAACGTTAGCTAAAAAATTTATTTTTATTTTTTTATTTTATTTTATTTGCGTATCAAATAAATAATCACAAATTATAATTGAGAGTAGAGAACAGATAATATAATAATAGAATTAAAATGCTTATAAGTAAAATGGTGAGGCACCAGCAAAACTGCTACAACACCTACCAGAAGTATAATAGGCTACAACAATGCTAGGCTTGAATAACGAAATTGAGATGAATATAAGCATACCGCAAAAAATAACACAAAATATAATGAGATTCATATGAAGAACACATAAATGATGCAAAAATAGCACCAAATACAATAAAAATTTAATTTAAAAAGCTAATATCACATAATTAGCCAATAAGTTTTTATTATAAATACTTTTTGAAATCAGCTGTAAAAAAATAATAAATAATTTAGCTTTTAATAGCTTTATGGAATAAAATGACCATATATTGTGGCAGTTTTAGATAAATCACTTTTAAACTAATAAGTAGAGTCAAATAAATTTTTGCATGAGTATTAATTTTATTAGTATATGTATATACAAAAAATTCGATGTAAATCGTAATGCTACACGATCTTATCAAATTTGAAAATTATTACAAAATGTGATTTTACTTAAGAATTTAGATTTAGGCATTCCTCGAATAATTTAAAGGAGATGTTAAAAAGAGGTCGATTTCTGTCCAAAAAGGAAGTAAACGGAATAGTGTTTTTAATAATTTTGTTCAGGAGGTTAAAATCTACAAAAAAACACTATTTCTTTTACTTACATCTTTTTGGGCAAAAATTTGCTCTTTTTTGGGGGATATTAAAAAAGGATCGATTTTTGTCCAAAAGAATATGAATAAAAGAAATAGTGTCTTTTCTAAATTTTGACCTCCTGTGAATACGATAATATTAATAAAAAGTTCGAATTCGATAGGAAACACCTTGAAAATTAAACATGAACATGTGATATATTTCAAGAAATTTCAATATTATTTACTTTTCAAGGTGTTCCCCAAATGTCACAAACTTTTTAATAATTTTATCATATTCAGGAAGTCAAACTCTTCAAAAAAGACACTATTTCTTTTACTTATATTTTTTTGGACAAAAGTCGGTCCTTTTTTAATATCCTCCAAAAAAAGGTATGTGAGGAACACCTTGAAAATTAAACAAGAACATTGAAATTTCTTGAAATATATTATGTTTATACTTAATTTTCAAGGAGTTCTCTATCGATCCCAAACTTTTATTAACATTATCGTATTCAGAAGGTCAAAATCTATTAAAAAACGCTATTCCTTTTACTTACATCTTTTTGGACAGAAATCAGTTTCTTTTCAACATCCTCGTTTCAAAAATTTACAAAAAGGTTTAATGTAATTTTACTCATAATTCAATTTTCGATATATTTAATATTGTTATTAAGTCAAAGATTTTACGATGCAGAAGTTTGTCTTATTCTATTACGGTGTTAATTAATCATTATTAAACTTTTTAATTTTCTGTCAACATAAGTATCATAAAAACATCAAATTTATTTACAAAAACGAAATAATAATGACACACAAAGCATAATAAATTATGAATAAGTCATCCACGTAAAAAACAGCAATTACCTTCTCGTCGTCGACGGTAACAACAGTTTTCATGGTGTCTGTATCGGTGCCG